CCAGGGTTATCTGGAGCAGTCAGTGGAGGAGGTGGATGCTGGGGCCTCAGCTGACAGAGCCTGGTCTCGCCTTAAGGGTGGGGCCCTAACTGGGGCCAGAGGGCTCCCAAGCCCCAGATAAGGACTCCAGCCTGGTCTGGCCCAAAACCTAACTGCCCTGTCTCCCCAGGTATGCCCCAGAGTGCCTGAAGGAGTGTAAGTTCTACTATGCATCTGACGTCTGGTCCTTTGGGGTTACCATGTATGAACTGCTTACCTATTGTGACTCCAGCCAAAGCCCCCCCTCGGTGAGAGCCAAGCCCGCACCCCTACCCCATACTAGAGGAGTTAGGCATACATTCAATTCCCAGCTCCCCCAGTTTAGCAAGTGCTTAATCCACCAGAGCCTCACAGTCCCAATCTTTAAAATGGGCCACTTAAAATGCCAGTGGCTTTGATGGTGACAGAAACAAGTAGGAACAACTAATTCCACTATTTGCAAACTCCAGGGGAGAGTTGGGGCACAGCTTGATCTAGATCCTCAGATATCATCATGGACCCCATTTTCTCCATCACTCAGTTCTATTCTCTGTGGTAGTATGTCTCAGGCCCTCTCTCTGTTGTGGCAGCTGTGGTCCACTTCCCCTCCCCTCAGCCCTCCAGGTACCCATTCCCCCCAGCTGAGGGGATCAAGGGTCCCCTTTCCTGCTTAATTCTCAGGATTCTGGCTGGCCCAGCTTGGCTCATGTGTCCTCCAGGGAGCCAATCACTGTGTAGCCACGAGCCACAATTATTGGCCAGGCCTGGGCTGGAGGAGGAGCCAAGAGAATGTTAGGAGTTTATTCCCAAAACCAATCAGAGTGCCTTTATAGGAGAAAAAAAAAAAGATCCTGGGCAGGCAAAACAGCTTGCTGGGAGGCTTAATAGCAACAGCAAACACCTGATTCAGACTTACTCTATGAATATTAATTTAACTTTCACAATCACCCCAGGTGTTAGAAGTTATTACCCGATTTTACAGATGGGAAAACAGGCCTAAAGAGGTAAAGTCATAAGTCCAAAGTTATGCAGCTGAGAAGTGGTACAGGCAGGACTAGAACCTCTGCAGTCCTACTCCAAGCTCCTGACCTTTACCTATGCAGCTATGCCTCTTGAAGAGCTTGTCTTTTATTCTGTAGAAATTCCTCGAGCTCATAGGCCTCACCCAGGGGCAGATGGCAGTACTGAGGCTCACTGAGCTGCTGGAACGAGGGGAGAGGCTGCCTCGGCCAGAGAAATGTCCCTGTGAGGTGAGACACCCCCTCTTTTTCCCTGCCCCCACCACTGGACTGTAGACAGAGCAGTGACCACAGCCATTTTCCCTCCCCCAGATCTATCTCCTCATGAAGAACTGCTGGAAGGCAGAGGCCTCAATCCGCCCAACTTTCCAGAACCTCATACCCATCCTGAAAACATTGCACGAGAAATACCAGGGCCAGGCCCCCTCTGTGTTCAGTGTCTGCTGAAGCCCGCCAGTGGCTGTGCTTCAGGGGATCGGAGCAGGCAGTACCTACAGAGAGGGCCTCCCACTCTTACCCCAACAGGGGGAAGTTGGCCTCACCCACTCCTTGTGCCTTACTCCTGCCCTGAGACCCCACCTTTGTGACCTGACTTTCCTTGTCTTCGTCCATTCGTGCTGCTATAACAATACCGCTGACTGGGTGACTTATAAACAACAGGAATTTATTTCCCACAGCTCTGGAGGCTGTGAAGCACAAGATCAAGGTGCCAGCATGGTCACATTTGGGTGGAGGCCCTCTTCCTGGTTCATAGCCTATTCCTTCTCACTGTGTCCTCACAAGGGGGAAGGTAGTGAGGGATCTTTCTGGGGCCTCTTTCATAGGGGCACTAATTCCATTCATGAGGGACCTAAGTACCTCCCAAAGGCCCACCTCCTAATATCATCACATTGACTGCCAGTTTCACCCTTTCTTCCCTGTGTGACCTCAGGCAAGTGACTTTCTGTCTCTGGGCTGCAGTTCTCAACTCTGAGCTAGGGATGGTCATGCTTGCTACTCAGAGGACTAATATAAAGAGCTATGATATTGTGTATGTCAAATGCTTAGCAGAGAGACTTGCAAACAAGCACTTAATAAACATTTGATACTGTTAATCTGGTGCTTGCCAAAGTGTTTCTACTTAATAGTTGTACTTGAGATGGGTATGTGTCAGCCACATTGTGAAAGCTGTTAATTTGCTTTCCCACAGTATGTCTCCAGACCTTATGCATTGAAGCTCTCTTGAACGGACAATTAATTCCACACTATTCTAGAAGCATTTGCTTTTTATACCAGTTTCAAAATTAAATATTCATTATAATTATCATCTGTTTTGTGAGATAGGTAATACTGACATAGGCAGTAAAATGTCTCCCTCCTCTGTCCATCAGCCACCACTATCACCACCCTGGAGGCCCCTAATGTCATCTGGTTTCCTGTTTTTGCTTCCAGAGACATTTTATCCAAATACAAGGAAGTTTGTACAGATGTTATGCTTTCCCATCTTATGCAAAAATAGTAGCATGGGCAAAACTATACAGAGTTCTAGTCTGTTTTCTTGCCCCCCCCCCCCCCCCCCGTGTAATAGGTCTCGAAGATGGTCCCCTATATCCAGGCATACAGCATTTCCTTGTTCTATTTTGTGGTTGTGTTGTAGTCCATCATTAAAATGTTAATCAGCATTTGTTCCCTGCTGGGGTCATGCAGTCTTTCCTCATCCTTTGCCATGCCTATGTGCTACTGCAATGAGTAATGTGTGCACATCGTTTCACCCACTTTCAAGAGTATCTGTAGGACAAATTCCCAACAGGAACGGCTGCTTGCAGGATCTAACCTGGTAATTAGGAAAGACATTGGCACTAGGATACGTTTTGATATTTGATAGGGCAGATATCTCTTTTTTTTTTTTTTTTCAAAATTATCTTGGCTTATTCTTGTGCTTTTTTAAAAATGTTTTTTTATTGGGGAACAGTGTCTTTTTCCAGGACCCATCGGCTTCAAGTCAAGCGGTTGTTTCAATCTAGTTGTGGAGGGCGCAGCTCAGTGGCCCATGTGGGGATCAAACCGGCAACCTTGATGTTATGAGCAAATGTGCTCTAACCAACTGAGCTAACCAGCTGCCCCTTGTGAAGCTACTTTTTAAAAAACTTTTACTATGAATAATTTAAAGCATATGCAAAACAAAGGAGCATAATGTAATGAACTTGTACTTAACCAACAGCCAGTACCAACAGTTTCCAACACCTGTGGCCAGTCATGTTTCAACTCTACCCCCACTCCTACCCCTGCCACTGAATCATTTTGAAGCATATCCCACATATAATATTTTATCTGTAAAAAATTCATATGTATCTCGAAAAGATATAACCACAAACAATAACTACAATACCATCACACCGAAAAAGTTTAACAATAATTCCTCAAAATCATGGTGTAGCTTGTGTTTAAATTTCCCCAGTTGTCTCTGAAATACTTGGTGTTTGTTTACAGTTTGTTCAAATAAACATCCAGACAAGGTTCACATGCCGCATTTGGCTGAGGGCCGGTTCCTTTAAGTTCTGGGTTCCTCTTCCTCTTTTTTCTCCCCCTTGCACCATATTTGTTGAAGAAACAAGGTTGTTTGTCCTGTAGACTTGACCAGTCTGTGTCATCCTTGTGGTATAGCTGTAACACATTCTTCTGTCATCATCTTGACCAACGGATGGTCAGGTTCAGTTTCCATTTTTTTGGCAAGTCTCTTACAGAGGGCGTTGTGCCCTCTCAGCAGGAGGTACTCAAGTTCTGCTTGTTCCTCCTTTTGTGACACGAGCAGCCACCCAGACCCATCAGGGATGCAGTTTTTCTTTTCCAATATTTCATTCTAAAAAATTTCAAACACACAGAATAGTTTGAAGAATAGCACAGTGAACACTCCTAGATTCCACATTACCAGATTTCTAAATTTACTTTATCATACTGTATCCTTCCATCCTTTTTCTGCCTGTCTATCAGTCCAGCTCATGTTTTGGATACAAATCAAAATAGGTGGATGCTGTGTGTGTGTTTGTGTGTGTGTGTGCTGAAATATGCATAGTATCAATTTGACCCTCTTTAAGTGTATGATTCAATGGTATTAAATACATTAACAGTGTTGTGTAACCAACTCCACTATGGATTTACAGAACTTTTTCATCCTCTGAAACAGAAACTGTCTCTATTCAACACTAACTCCCCATCCCCCTCCTCCCCCTACTTCTGGTAACCACCATCCTACTTTCTCTATGAGTGTTTCTACTCTAGGGACCTTATATAATTGTACTATTTGTCCTTTCGTGTCTGGCTTATTTCACTAAGCATAATGTCCTCAAGGTTCATCCATATAGCATATTACAGGATTTCCTTCTTTTCTAAGGCTGAATAATATTCCATTGTGTAGATGGACCACATTTTGTTTATCTAGTCATCTGTTGATGGACACTTGGGTTGCTTCCACCTTTTGGCTACTGTGAATAATGCTGCTGTGAACATTGGCGTGCAAGTATCTGTTTGAGTCCCTGCTTTCAGTTATTTTAGGAGAGGAATTGCTGAATTACTCTATGTTTAGCTATTTGAGGAACAACCAGTTTTATATTCCCACCAGCCAAGTGTGAGAGTTCTAGTTTCTCCACATCCCCCCCAACACTTGCTGTTTTCTGGTTTGTTTGTTTTTTAACGGTAGCCATCTTAATAGGAGTGGATGAAACCAGAAGGTAACCGAGTCTGGAGTTCGTGCTGCCTGCGCTGCTCAGCCAATAGACAGACACAGGAGTTGGGCTATAGAATAAGCGATTATCAGAGCACCGGTGGTCTGAGAAGGCAGCAGATTAACACCTTCAAAAACTACCTTAATATTCCTAGACCGGCTCATGGTATTTAAGGGAAAAACTGGACATTCCTCCAGAGGCTAGTTGGTCCTGGGAGTCTGTTCCGCTTCATGGAGGCTTCCTTCTGACAACGTGGATCTCTAACATTGTTAACAACTCAGGAACAGTGGTGGAAATAACCAGGAAAGAATGCTAGGCAATAGAGGTTGTGATTAATAAGCATAAGGGTATTAATCATAAGTTTCAGGGTAATTTTCTTTTTTTTTTTTTTAACTGAGCCCTCCTGCCACCTGTTGGCAGCTCAGCGGCAGCTCAGCTCAGGCCGGGAATCGAACTGCTGTTGCTCAGAGCTCAAACTCTTGAGCGAGCTCTTAACCAACTGAGCCACTCGGCTGACCCCAGGGTAATTTTCTAAAGAAGGGAAACTGTGACGGGATTTTTGAGTTTAAGCCACAAGGGGTAATCTATTACTAAGGTATAGGTCAAGAAAAGGTGAGGATGGGAACACAGTGAGGCCTCTACTATGGAGATCCCACTGGGCCTTGCTTCATGAAGTGCTCTTTCATTGTGGTTTTGATTTACATTTTTCTAATGGCTAGTGATGTTGAGCACCTTTTCATGTGTTTATTGGCCATTTGTATAGCTTCTTTGGAGAAATGTCTATTCAAGTCCTTTGCACGTTTTTAAATCGGGTTTTGTTGAGTTGTAGGACTTCTTTATAATCTGGATATAATCTCTTACCGAATATATTATATACAAATACTTTTGATTTGAGTTTTAGTTGCTCTCTCAGCACCGTGTGGGAAATGGATGGGGGTCAGGGCAGCAGAGGAGACCCCTGATTGGAGAGGGCGGTGCCCCAGGTGAGAGACGAGAGGGCATGGCCTCAGGGATGGTGAGAATGGATGAATACTGGGTGCCATCAAGACCCTCAACAAGGTCCCTCTCTGGTGCTCAGATCAGAGGAAAAGGAGGCAAGTCGGAGGCCCAAGAGATGGAGCAGAAGGAGCTGGGAGTGGCCACCTGACTCACCCAGTCCCTTTTCTAGAGATGAAGAGACAAGCTGCCTAGAGGTGAGGGCAAAGGAGATGGGGACAGGGGTGAGGGATAGTTACAAGTAGCATCCTTCACACACGGTGGCTCAGGATTCAGCTGTGCCCCAAACACCCCACCTCAGCATTGTGTACAAGGAATGGGGGGGATCTCCCAAGAACTTAAAAAATGGTGAGATACCCCGCCCCCAAATCTTCAATGGTAAAGGGCCCTACAGGAGCCACTCTGGAAGCCAACACAGAGCCTCTCACACGTGCCCAATAAATATGGGCTCTGTTCACTTTCATGGCTTCACTTATCTTAGGAGGTCCCTCTATCACCTCCAAATCTCTTATTTGCCCTCCAAGAATGTTGAGATCTTACACTAACGCCTTGAGGCCCTGCCTAGAAGTCCCTGCATCATCCCCTTGAAATGTTGCCTTGAAATCACACTTTATCACTTCAAGGATAATGTCTGGAGGTTCCCCCGTTAACTTCCTCTCTAGGAAAATAACCCTAAGTTCAGCAGGAAGGAGATGTCTCACCCCTTCCACCCACCCCACCCTACCCAGGCTTCCCAGTACTTGACAACAAAGGATGATTTGTGCTAGTATTTCCTGTGGGTTCATTTTGTGGCATGAAAATGAGGTCCACCCTGTCAGAGTCATCTCACAGGGCCCCACTTGAGCTCCTGACTCTGGACCGTGGGGGCCACAGAGGATCCCCGCTGCCCCTCCCCAGGCCTGGGCAAGATGCAGCCCCTGGATTTATGCAACCTTAACTGCTGTGGTGTGTTTCCGTATTCCTGGGTGACTCCGCCTGCTCCCCACTGCCCTGCCCAGTGCTACACTTCGGCACCTTCCTCCACAGCTTAGCCACCATGGTGCCCTTGGGATCACTGCATGGGGCCTGCTGCAGTCTGCTCATCTCCCTGCTTCTGGTCTGTCTGCTGCCCCCAGGTAAGGTGAGTCAAGGTGGGAAGGGCTGTATTGGGGGACTGGTAGAGGGTGAAGAAAGCAAAGCTCCCCACATGCTGCTGCTGTGGTTCACTTAAAATTCGTATCTGACAGGGGGTTCACCAGTGTCCTGGAGAGAAAGTTTATGGCTCTTTCATTCAGCTTTCAGGGCTCCCTGAGGCCTGAGGCATGTGGTTTATCCTCCCCCACAACTCTCTCTGTTTTATCTGTAACCTTGACCTTTGCCTATGCTCTTCCCTCTGCCAGGATCACTTCCCTTTCACTTGGCTGACTCCTATTTACCCTTCAAAACTGGCCATAGTCGCCTCCTCCAGGAAGCTTCCTTGACTTACTTCCTCCTATAGGCTCCTATGGATCTCCCTCCAAGCTCTCCCCCATCCCTGATCCATCACGTCTTCCCCACTGGACTGGAAGCACTATTAAGGCAGAGACCATTATATCTTGGCCCAAGGAGGTGATGGATGGTGGGGCCTGAAGATGGGTGGGCTGGGGGCACCAGGTCAACCAGCAGAGCTTCTCTCTGTTCCCATATGTGCCCAGGGGCAGGAGTTCCTGCTGCGGGTGGAGCCCCAGGACCCAGTCGTGCCTGCCAGAGGATCCCTCTTGGTAAACTGCAGTACAGACTGCCCCCATCCGGAACTCATTACCCTGGAGACGTCCCTACTGAAGGAGACAGTGAGCAATGGCGTGGGCTGGGTGGCCTTCCAGCTCAGCAATGTGACTAGTGACAGCAAGGTCCTCTGCTCCAGCTTCTGCAATGGCTTCCAGATGACAGGCTCCTCTGATATCACAGTGTACAGTAAGTGGATGTGCCTGGAGGTGGGACTGGCCTCAGGCAGTGGTGGGGGTTGATGGGCAATGGCCCTGAGTTTGCAGGAATGGACCAGGCCTCTCTCTGACCCAGAGCTTGGACCTGGACTGTGTATGTGTGTGTGTCAGAGAGACAGATGCATCTGAACCACATGCCAGGACAGCAGTGTGAAATCTATTTATTTAGATCCCAACAAACATTAAAAAACTGATAGCTCATGCCTTTTTTTGTTTTTTAAAGATTTTTATTGGGGAATTGGGGGATGGGAACAGCGCTGGGGAATTGGGAGAAGGGGAACAGACAAGTTGCTGTCATTTTGTTCTTCAGTCTAGTTATGCAGGATGTTGCTTCACTGGCCCAAGTTGGCACCATCATTGCGCTCTTCCCGGGCGAGGCAGATCAGTCGCCGGCTTCTGGACGGCCGCTCACGCTGAGCTGTTGTTCAGCATCTTAGCTGTGGAGGGCAGTGTCACTGGCCCTCATATATGGGATCCGAACCAGGGTCCTCTGGCGTCCCAAGCCAGCTCTTAACCAATGCGCCACTCGGCCGGCCCTACCTCATGCCTTTTATTACTTATATTTTATGGCAGGTAATACATTAATGGGGTTCCTAAATCAAAAAGTATAAAAAGGTATAAATGTCAAATCTCCATTTACCTAGTGCTGCTGCCAGTGGCCAGTTTTAAGTGTTGACACCCACACTTAGGTGCTCATTCAATCCTTAAAAAAAGCCCTAGGGCAGGGGGTAGAGTGGGGTGTATGGGGGGTGCATTTATGAGCCTCATTTCACATCTAAGGAAAACTGAGGCTCAGTGGGGTGCAGTCATTTGCCAGTATTCACAGCCCGTGAGCAGAGAGGCTGGCAGTCCAGCTCCCAAGTCCCTGTTCTTAACAGGTGACGTCTTCCTCCCCAGACCATGTATCCCCCTGGTACCGGTTTCTTATGCATCCTTCCAAGAGTTTCTCTGCATTTAAAAGAATAGACTAGAAAATAGCAGAGAACATCACTCATGGTGCCAACCATTTTGTGAGGCCTTCACAGATAAGGGTATGTGTGTAACCGCGCATGCTCCTGTGTGGGCACCAGTGTCTACATGCATCTGTGTATCTATATGTGTGTCTGTTGAGTATATATACATGTCATTATGTGTGTCTGTGCCAGTGTATAGCTATGTCTGTGTGTTAGTGTCTGTGTGTGCCTGAATCATTTGTATGTCTGTGTATCTCCATGGAGAACTGTATCTGTGCCCATGTGCAGATGTGTGTGAGCATGTGTGTCTGTGTCAATATGTGTATGTATACATATGTTTGTATCTATTTGTGTAATGTGTACCTCTGTGTGCGTGTATCTATCTGTGTCACTCTCTCTGTGTGTCTGTCAGGTGCTATGCAGGAGCCTGTTGATCCTGGCTCATGAGATCTGACTGTGCTCATCTCTTCCCAACTCTGTCTCACATTGGGTAGCTTGAAATCAGCCACAGTGGGAATATTTACACCACAGAATTTGGCAAATGCTCCCTGTCGGGGCTCCCCCACCTGAGAGGCCAAGCATTACCAGCATTTGCCAGCATGCCACTGTCCCTAACCAGTGGTGCCCGAGGTTAAGATGGAGGCCTCCTTGTTAAATATTCTAAAATTATAAATAAGATATTAAATATTTTTCAGAACAGCCAGTCCATGGGCCTCTATGTGACAGCTTGAGATCCAGGCTTGAGTTGTTGAGGGAGAGAGTGGTCAAAGTCTGTGTGCCTGTGAGGGTCACTGCAGCTGCAGCTGGGAGAGGACCCAGCCTGGGGGTATTGGGTCCCTCATGACTATGCCAGAGCACCTTGAGAGGCTGCCCCAGGCAGGTGGACCATGAGATCCTTGGGACTGATAGGGAAGGCTAGATCAAGCTCTGGGAGAGGGCAAGGACAGTGTCCAGGCCAGAAGCTGGGAGGACTAGGGGGGTCCCTAGATGTGACATCAAGGAGGCTTGTAGACACATGAATCTCGAGTTTGGGAGACCCACATTCTAACTCGGGTTCTGTCCCTTCCTTGCTGTGCATCCTTGGCAGATCACCTATCTGGGCCTCAGTTTCTCCATCTGTAAAAGGGAATAAGAAAAGAAATTCTACTATTGCTATGTGAATGAAGGTGGATTACTGAATGACATCTGGAAAGTCTATCGCTTCTTGGCCTTTTGCCTAAGATCAAGTGTGGAAAGTCTAAGGAATGCTCCCAATAAACAAGAACTTTTATAATTACTATTAACATCATAAGTGGTCATAAACGTTAGTCCCCTTCCTTTTTTTCTATTTTTTTTTCCCATTAATTGTGAGGTCCTCAGGGACAACAAATCTTATTTTTATTTTAGTGCCTGGCAAGGCATCTGACAAAATGGGAAATAACAATCATGATGCTAATGACAATAGCCGACACTTCCACTGGAACATTTCTAAGCCTCTCAAAGTTCACAGTTCTGCACGGGGCCACACTCAGCTCCTCTCTGCTCCCTGGGGTAAGGGTTGCAGGGCTGGCTGGTAAATTCTGTTCTCCCCTTCCTCCCCCTGCCCAGGGTTTCCAGAGCATGTGGAGCTGGCACCCCTGTCCCCCTGGCAGCCTGTGGGCAAAAACCTCACCTTGCGCTGCTGGGTGGCAGGTGGGGCACCCCGGACCCACCTCTCGGTGTTGCTGCTCCGTGGAGAGGAAGAGTTGAGCCGGCAGCAGGCAGTCAGGGAGCCTGCAGAGGTCACCACCACGGTGCTGGCTGGCAGAGACGATCATGGTGCCAATTTCTCTTGCCGCTCCGAACTGGACCTGCGGTCCCAAGGGCTGGGACTGTTTCAGAACAGCTCGGCCCCCAGGCAGCTCCAAACCTTTGGTGAGGGAAGGGACTATGGACAGTGGGTGATGGGCTGAGCGAAAGTAGGGGTACCCAGGCTGCGGGGCTTCTGAGAACGGGATGGCCAGGACCTCAAGGGCTTCTGGAAGGTATGCCCTTCTTTGCCTTTGAGCGGGGTAGCCTCAGAGGGGAGGCCCCCGCCAGTCACTGGAACTTTTGAGAAGTATGTGTGGGTGTGTCCTGGGAAGGGGGTGATCCAGGCCAAAAGGTATCCTGGGAAAGGACACTGGTTGGGGCGTATGAATGTGTCACAGGGAAAGGGGCATACATGGCTGTGTGAGATTTCTGGCTCATGCCCACTCTTCTCCCCAGTCCTGCCTGTGACCTTCCCGCACCTCACTGTCCCCCGGTTCTTGGAGGTGGGAACGTCCGGGCCCCTGGTCTGTACCTTGGACAAGCTGTTTCCAGCCTCAGAGGCCCAGGTCCAACTGGCGCTGGGCAACCAGATGCTGAATACCTCAGTCTCCAGCCAAGGGGACATGCTCACAGCCACAGCCACAGCCACTGCAAGCGCAGAGCAGGAGGGCACCAGGGAGATTGTCTGCAATGTGACCCTGGGGGGCGAGAGCCGGGAGACCCGAAAGAACTTGACCATCTACAGTAAGTGGGGACAGGGCCAAAACAGCTGGAGAGATGAGGAAAGGGGGCGTGGCATATGGGAAATAGGAAAAGTGGGGCCTTAGCCGCCAGAGTGGGAGAAGTTGCAGCGTGGGCGGGGCCTAAGTAACCCGAACTGTGTAGCCTGAGCGCTCCAAGTTTGGCGGGGGTGGGGGGTGGGGTCCGCAGAATAGCCAAAAGGCCTGGTTTGGATACCACAAGGGGGAAAGACGTGGGTGGAGGGCGGGGCTTGACCGATGTGAGGGGCGTGGTCAGCAAACTTCTGGGCAAAATCCCGCCTTTAGGCTTCCGGGAGCCCACAATGAACCTGAGCGAGTCCACCGTCCCTGAGGGGACCACAGTGAATGTGACTTGCGCAGCCGGAGCCCGAGTCCAGCTCACACTGGATGGAGTTCCGGCCGTGGCCCCAGGGCAGCTCGCCCAGCTTCAGATAAACGCCACTGAAAGGGACGACAGGCGCAGCTTTTTCTGCAGTGCCACCCTCGAGGTCGATGGGCTAATCTTGCGCAGGAACAGGAGCGTGCAGCTACGTGTCCTGTGTGAGTAGGTCACTCTGACCTCCAATTCTTTGTTCTATTGGCTTGGGAAGACTGGATTCTCCCTTGCCCCTTTGTGCCTCGGGTATGTCTGATCATTTGGCGGTCCCACAGATGGTCCCAAGATTGACCCAACCAAATGTCCTCAGCACTTGACGTGGAAAGATGGGACGACCCATATCCTGCAGTGCCAGGCCCGGGGCAACCCGGACCCGCAAATACAGTGTTTGCAGGAAAGCTCCGGGTTCCAGCCGCCCGTCGGGATCCCATTCCGCGTCAGCTTAAACTACAGTGGAACCTACTGCTGCCGGGCGGCCAATTCACAGGGCACGCATACTTTGACAGTGGTGATGAACGTTCAGAGTGAGTGAGGTGGGGCCGCGGGTCTAGACGGACAAGCCTAGGAGGGACCAAAGTGCGAATATTTACTCCTTGCTTATCTGCACAGATCGGAACCCCCTTGTCGTCACCATTGTCATGGCAGTGTTGGTGATCCTGGGCCTCGTGACTGTCACCGCAGCCTCACTGTACATCTTCGGGGTGCAGAAGCGTAATGACATCTACCATGTGAATCAGGGGAGCACCTGGTTGCCCCTCACGTCTAAACAGCCCAACGAGGTGCTGAGGGAGGAGCCATCCTGAACCTCGCGCTACCAGAGGACTGGGCCAAAGACCGGGGTTTGGCTGTATCCCCGAGTTCCAAAACAATAAAGCCCTCAAAATCCGGAGTCTGTGGCTTGATTTCCACCTGCGCTGAGAGGCTCTCCCACAGCGCTGGGAGTCCATTGAGTGACATCTCCGCAGCGGAAAGGGGCGGAGGCTGTGGCGCCCAAAAGGGGCTGGAACTCTGAGAGGCGGGCTAGGCCTTAGCCAATGGGCTGAGGGAATCGAAAAGGAGGCGTGGCCTCTCGCGGCCAATAGGTGAACGCGCCCTCGTTGCCGCTCTATGCCGCTCCGCCCCGGCTCGCTGGTCCCAGAAGGCGTCGGGTTTCCCAAGATGGCGGCCGACGTGTCCGTTACTCACCGGCCCCCGCTGAGCCCGGAGGCTGGGGCCGAGGTTGAAGCCGACGATGCCGCGGAGCGCCGGGCGCCCGAAGAACTGCCGCTGCTAGATCCAGAGGAGATCCGGAAACGCCTGGAACATACTGAGCGCCAGTTCCGTAACCGCCGCAAGATACTGATCCGAGGCCTCCCGGGGGACGTGACCAACCAGGTATGGGGGGGTGGTGTGGGAGCGTGGCGGGGAAATACCACCGTACGCGTGCGCGGGGGAAACCGAGCAACACCAACGCTGGCGTGCGCAGGGGGGAGCGTCGGCGGGAGAGTCCAAGCGCGGGATCCACGCGGGATTGGGAGAGACCAAGAGCGGGTTGTGGGGGGAGGGGATGGAGGGAGAAACCAACTTTGGACTGAGGGAGGATGTTGCTAGGGGCGACCACAGGCTTGGACAAGACCAAGAGATTGAAGTGGGCGGGGAATGGAAGGGGGCGGGCAGCTTTGGTCAAATTGGGGGATTGTGAATGGGCAGCTAGACTGGGAGTGTGGAAATAGGGATGCCAGTTGCTCTCTGCTCTGATTGTGTTTTTCCTCATTCCCCTCTACCATGAGGTGGCGGGACCTCATAGCCGGCAGTTTCAGAATTGGCTAGAGTATGCCTTTCCTTAGTACGCGTTTATTAACATCTCTTAGAGATAGATCTGGAAGCTGTAGCTGTTCCTGGGGTCTTTCTTCCCCCAAAGCCCCGGGATTAATTTGGAAAAATGGCGTCTTCTGCCCCCAGCCCACAGACCTGAAGGAAAAGAGGAGCCAGTGTTCTGTGGAGCCCCTCGGCTGATCTGGCCAGGGGTGCCCTTCTCTTGGGGCCTATGTAGCACACAGGGCTTTCTAGTGCTCTTTGGACCCAGGGAGATTGCATCTGATCTGCCCTTCCCTGCGGTAGTGGAATGGATTCTTTCTTCCTGTTGCTGAGAATTCCTGCTTTCTGGCCCACCAGCATATCTGCTACTGGCTCACCCTGCCTGTAGGTGGGCACATGGCTAGTGGGGCCCCCAGAGTGTTGGAACAAGCATGACTTGGGATCAGACCTGGCGCCACTAAGCATGGTCTGATTTGTTTCTAGAGCTGGCCCTCCTCCTAGCACCTGCCATCTCTCAGCTGTGAACATGCAGTCTCTCCTGCAAGGTGCACAGTGTGTCTGGCACAAGCAGGGCCAGAGGCTCGTCTCTGCAGCTGGCTTGCAAGAAGGCGGCCTTGTCAGCAGGAGGGAATTGGGAGGCACATGAAGCCACAAAATGTGGGCTTAAAGTACACAAGGTCCCCAGTCATGTACCCCTGGGTGGCATTCCTGCTGCTGCCCTGACCAACCCCATGACCTTCAACAAGTTTTTTCACTTCTCTGAGCCTTGGTTTCCTCATCTGCAAAATGAGTTTGTTAATAACCTAACTTGTAATGTTGTTGCAAAGAGCCAGTCTTGCGAACCGCGGTCAGAAATGTTAAACAACTTCCCTAAGGCCATATGGCAGAGCTGGGACTTGAACTCAGACCTACCTGGCTTTCTAAGAGTGTGTTGTGTTCGCTAAGAGCAGGAGGTCCGCAGTTAAACTCTGAATCCCAGCACTGCTGGGTATGGCCACAGTGGCCTTGGCAAGTAACTGCTCTGAGCTTTAGTTTCCTCCTTTGTAAAATGGGGGATGTAATGGGTCTACCTTCATAGCTGGTCCATGTGAAGGATTGCTCTCTTAAGCCCCTGGTGACTCCCTGTCCTTTGGCTTCTGTCTCCACAGGAAGTGCACGACCTGCTCAGCGACTATGAGCTCAAGTACTGTTTTGTGGACAAATACAAAGGGACAGGTTTGTGGGGTTGTGGGGTGGGCTAGCGGCAAAGGGTGACAGCCCCTGAAGCCGGGAGATTTCTGGCCCAGCATCTCCTCTCCTGAACTTTTGGGCCCAACGTCGGCCCCTAGGCCAGCACAGGACAGACAGTTGCCCCAATCTGTCCCTCATCCTGGGTGCCCATCATGGGGCAGCCTTGATGTTCCTCCTCAAGGCTGCTCAGCCAGATACCTGAGCACTGGGCTCCCCTGCTTCCCATGACATCCCTTCCAGCAAGCCAGTCACCTAGGCCTGTCTGGTCTTCTTCAAGCTCTCAAGAATAATTGGTGCCCCTCCATCTCTGCCCAAATGGCCTCTCTGCTTCTATGATTTCATGCTCCCATTTGCCCCTCCCCCAGGCAGCCCAGGCTAATCAAATCTGATCAATCTGATTGCAAATCTGATCAAACCTAATCCTAATGCTAATCATTTTTCTCAAAACCCATCTGAGGCTCCTCCTGACCATCTTGCAAGGTTGTGCCCCAGCCTTACCACCTCCTCAGGCACCCATAAGCCTCCAGGCTGTTCCCTCTGCCATTGTTCTTAGCTGTCTCCTCTTCCATCCAGGTAGCAGCAGGTAGCTCCTTACAGTGCCCTCAGTGCCCTCTCCCCATCATAGCATTGGTCACCCTGGGCCGTCATTGCTGGCTCACTCACCTGCCTCCTGCATTCAGTGGTCGGCTTCATAAGAACGGAGACAGGTCTTGTCAGCCTTGGCCGCCCCCACTCTGGTGTGGGAGGCCCTCACTGGGTGTCTTTGCCCTCCAGGCATTGTACTGGGTGTTCAGCCTCCCAGGGCCTTTGCTTACAATCTGTAACATGGGTGAGAAGGAGGCGAGGATAGGTGACCCCTGGAGACCTACCTGGCAGGCTAAGGTAGTGGTTAAGCTCTTGGGCCCTGGAGGTAAATGGACCTGGGTTTGAGTCCTGGTCTGTCCTCACTCTGTGGCTATAGACAAGTGATTCACCCTTCCTGAGCCTGTTTTCTCACAGCAAATTGGGCATGACCTGCTTGGGTTGGCCATAAGGCCAACCACATTAAGATACCTAAAAAAGGCTGGGGGTGCCTGGCACCTAGTAGGTGCTTAGTAAACATTGGCAGGGAGCAATGAGTCAACTGTTTACTGAACACCTTGTATGTATTGGGTTGTCGGACAAGTCATGACGCATTTTTGCGACGAAAAACAGAGAAAAAATGTTATGACTTTTCCGACAACCTAATATATGTGCCAAGTATTGAGGATCCAGAGGTTAAGAGACTTTCATTCATACCATCTTTCAGTAAATACTTATTGAATGCCAGTATGTGCTGGGGCCATGAGGACACAACTGTGAACCAGAGACAGTCTAGTATGGGGAGGAGGATGTTATACAAACAACTGCAGACATGAAGGTGAAGTGGTCATGGGACCAGAAGCTACAGAAAGCTGGGCTCTGAAACAGGAGCAGTCAGGCTAGGCTTTTTGAGAAAGAAGTGCTGTTTTTGGTCAGATTAAAATAAAGGGTGGGTTGGGGTTAACTGGGTGAAGGTGGGGAGGTCAGTATTCTAAGCTCAGAGAAAAGCAGGTGCAAAGGCATGAGGGGGTGTGGCCTGAGGGGTGTGGCCAGCATGGTCTAGGAAGTAGCAACAGGAGATGGGAGAGGAGGTCAACAAGGCCATGGGGCCAGGCCACAAAGGCTCCCCTGGTCCCTGCGGTGAGAAGCCCCTGGGCAAGGGCGTGGAACAGCCTAATTCTCGTTTTGAAAAGCTTCCTGTCGCTATTGGGTAGACAGCAAACCAGGAATGGCAGCGGGACCAAGGCTGAGGCAGGGGTTGGGATATGAGATGTTAGTGACCTAGAAAGGGGTGAGAAAGGGGTGAAGAATGAGGCTGTGGAGCCTGCCTGCCTGGATTCAAATCTAGGCTTCTTCCCTTGGGCAGGGGGGTGCTGCCTTAGACCCATTTCCTTGCTGACACAATGGTGGTTATGAGGAGTAAGTTATCCTCATTTGACAGATGGGGAAACTGAGACCCCAAAACCACTTGGGGTGGAGTTGAAACCCAGGCTCCAGTGACCACATGCTTAACCACTGCCCTATGTGTCCGCAAGTTATGCATGTAGTTCCAATGTGTCACCAAGCCAGGTGCACAGTAGGTGAGAGGGCTGGTGAGCTCATGAGTAGCAGAGTGCTACTGTGGGTTGCAAGCAGACGTAGGGATAAGGACAGGGAGCAGGCCTCCTAGAGGTAGAAGGCACCTGTGCAAGGCTGGCTACTATCTAGTTGGCTGGGGCCTGAGATGTCCTGGTTGGTCAGTATTTTGAGGTCACGTGATTTAGAGGGAGGTGGGGGTGCGTGGCTGTGGGGCGGAAGGGCGGTCCTCAGGGCCCTCACTGACCCACACCCCCTCCTGCTGCAGCCTTTGTGACCCTGCTGAATGGGGAGCAGGCCGAGGCCGCCATCAGCACCTTTCACCAGAGCCACCTGCGGGAGCGGGAGCTGTCTGTGCAGCTGCAGCCCACAGATGCCCTGCTCTGTGTGGCCAACCTGCCCCCCAGCCTCACGCAGCAGCAGTTTGAGGAGCTGGTGCGGCCCTTCGGCAGCCTGGAGCGCTGCTTCCTGGTCTACAGCGAGCGCACTGGCCACTCCAAGGGCTATGGCTTCGCTGAGTACATGAAGAAGGACTCAGCTGCCCGCGCCAAGTCGGACCTCCTGGGCAAGCCACTGGGCCAACGCACCCTCTACGTGCACTGGACAGATGCAGGGCAGCTGACGCCCGCCCTGCTCCACTCCCGCTGCCTCTGTGTCGACCGTCTGCCGCCCGGCTTCAGTGATGTGGACGCCCTGCGTCGGGCACTGTCGGCCGTACACATACCAACTTTCTGCCAGGTGAGCCTGTGCCTGGAGTGGGGCCCTGGGGAGCAGATGCCAGGCCCAGAGCACCTGGGAGGGGTCCTTTGAAGTCACCTGCCTTCTCTAGTCTCCTGGGTCCCTTTTCAGGAAAGCCTTGATGACACCACTTTGAATGGGGTTCTTGTTAGGCCATATGGTACAGTGGGTTATAGCTCAGATAGGAGCCAGATGACCAGTTCAAATCCCTGTCCCCGCTCTAGTGACTGGCCTAACCTTGCTGGCCTTGGTCTCCCCCTGTGAAGTGCAGGCGAGGCCTTTGTGAAAGCTGGGCACGAGCCTTGTTCACCCCTCTTCCACTTCCACTTATGCACTCTTCAGATGTTTGTTGAGCATCTACTGGGTCCCAGGCTCCAGGCCCAGCTTTGAGGAGGCTGCTCTGGAGAAACCCACAGTCTGTTTAAGCCTTGAGGTCAGGAGGCATACTTGACCAGGTCCCAGCCCTGCTCTGTGACCCTAGGTCACTTGCTATCTGGGCCTCAGTTTCCCTCATAAGAAGCAATTTGGTACTCATGAGTTGGTTAACAAAATAATCCCTGGTTCATCCAAGTCACATTTGTCAGGCACTTCCATATGTGTGCCCAGCCCCATGACAGACACAGTGGGGTGAAACTAAGCCAAGACCAGCCCTCGTAGAGTTCCAGATGAATGGTCTTGCCCATTTATCCCCAAGGCGGACGTTCCTTCAGCACGCACTGGTTTGTGAACACATTGCAATCCCTTCATCCTGTAACAGCCTGGAGAGGCAGGTATTATCCCCATTTTCAGGTGGGGACACTGAGGCATAGAGGGGTCAAGTGACATGCCCCAGGTCATACAATCAGGGCGTGGCAGAGCCAGGATTGAGACACTAGGCTGGCCATAAAGCCATAGGCCAGCCTGGAGGAGGCTGGTACCTGGCTCAGATGAGACAGTCCTGGGCTCAGACCCCAGCTCTGTGGCCTTCGATGGGGCCCGCTCCTGTTATGTAAACAGGTGTTAGGGCCTAGGGAATCAGACATCTGTAGGACGCCCTCCCTTTGCTCCCTCAGCATTCATTCATGCCCTTGCACCTACTTCATGCACCAGGCCCGGGGTGGGGCGCAGGGCACAGATGAATTAGCTTGGCCCACACATCCTCTTGTGGCTGAGGATGGCAAGGCCATGATCAACTAAAAGTTCCCTCTCTGAGCCTCAGTTTCCCCATCTGGAAATGGAATTAGCAGTGCTTTGTGATTGGGTTATTGCGAACGGCTGCCTGTTCATTCCTCCACTTAAGTTAGGTGTCCTGGTTGAATGGAGACCGAGTTCCAAAATCAGGTAGCTCAAGTTTTGAGCCTCAGTTCCCCTATTTAGGAGCCATGTGGCCTTGTTTGCCCTTTGACCTCTGATCTCTCTCTATTCATTGGTAAGATGGGTGTGATTGTGAGAATATATTCGTCTGGGGCCTTGATATGGGATCTGGCCAGAGGTGGGCTGATGGCTAGAGCCTACCCTGCCTGGGCACTCAGAGCAGGTGCTGGGCCCTGGCCAACAGCGTCCCCGAGCTGCTGCGGTTGGAGTGGGACCCTTCCCTGCCCCTGCTGAGCATCTTATTGAATCCCCACAACCACCCTGTGAGGTGGGTAGTTGCTGCCCCATCTTACATATGAGGAAACTGAGGGCCAGAGATGGGCATATACAGGGTCCTGCCCAGTCCAGCCAGCTACTTAGATGTAGGCTGGGAGTCAAGGTCAGGCAGCTGACTCTGGGGCCCATGCCCTTAATTGGGTTCACCTGCCTCCCAAGACAGCCAGATGCCAAGCTGGGAGTTTGCTGTCTTTTGGTGGGGGTAAGGGGGGGTGTGCCTTTATTGTCAACATAATCAAGATGAGACTGCCAAGGAGAACCCATAGCAACCCACTTTAGTGCACTTTTCCATTTATTTACAGGCCAATTTACATATCATAATTGCTTTATTTTGTTACAAAGTTGCCTAAAAATACTTGAATGCTATAGACATGTATAAAGCAGGTTTCATAAGACCTTGTGTGTTACAAAAAGCCTTATCGGTTTGTTTAGTTTTCTGAATGGGCAGTCCAGTTCCATCTGGAAATTCATGATCCATGGTAAAGGCTCCCTCGCAACCCCACAGCTTTTTCCTGCAGCCCCTGTTCACACCAGTTTGTTGTATCCTTCCAGCGAGATTTTATTATGCATTTCCAACAAATTCATATATACGTTCCTGCATTCCTCTTTTTTTTAAAGATTTTATTGGGGAATTGGGGGAGGAGAACAGCGTTGGGGAATCGGGGAAGGGGAACAGACAAGTTGCTGTCCTTTTTTTGTTCTTCAGTCTAGTTGTGGAGGACGTCGCTTCACTGACCCCTGTTGGTATTATCATGGCGCTCTTCCCGGGTGAGGCAGATCGGTCGCCGGCCGCTGGACAGCTGCTCACGGCGGCTCTTGGCAGCTCATGCTGGCTGCCGGCCGCCAGCCGCTCACGCCAGCTGCCAGCCACTCACGGTAGCTTATGGCAGCCCACTGCAGCTTCAGTGCAGCCTACCTCGTGGCCAGCGACTCATGACAGCCCAGCTCCAGGTCGAGCTGTTGTTCACCATCTTAGCTGTAGTGGGCGCAGCGTCACTGGCCCTCTATGTGGGATCCAAACCGGGGCCTTGCTGCCGCAGAGCTGGCATCCCAAGCCCATTCTTAACCAACGTGCCACTCGGCCGGCCTCATACCTGTTTTCTTGACCCAATTAACACCATGCCTGCGTTGGTTTGTTTTTTCCACTCACTTTGTTTTGGGCATCTCTCCCTGTTCAGACATGAGAGCTTTCTTGTTCTCTTTGCGACTGCACCGTATTCCGTTTTATGGACTCTGTGCTACTCCCTACCAGTGGACATTGTGTTGGTTTCGAATCAGACTACAGCTGTCCGTATATCACTTGGAACCCAGAGGAACAGGCATTGGTTCTCGGGGCAGCCATCGTCATGCCAAGGTGGCCAGTCCCGTTAAGGGTGTCAGCCTCCTTTTGTTTGATCCCAGCTCCAGCTCTGTGGCCTGGGCAAGGGACTGCCCCTCTCTGAGCCTCAGTGTCCTTATCTGCAAAGTGGGCATGCTAACAGTGCCTGCATCTGGATTCAGTGAAGGGCCCAGCTGGGTGTTTTTACAGTATCTGCATGCCCTGGGACCATCTCCACCCACAATTCCATCACCCACAGTGCCCTGACAAACCAAGAGGTCTGTTTGGTGAGTTGGTGGCCGACTAACCTGGCAGCAAAGAACTGATGTAGGGCCATCTGTCACCTTTCTCTTTGTATCTTGCTGCAGAGCTATTTGTGTGTTTGATTTTCAGGGAGCCCCAGACCCACTGAAGGCAATTGATATGTAATATACAGTATGTGTGGCATTCTCTCTTTCTCATCTCCAAAAAATTCTCAGTCCTGGAACACATCTGGCCCCAGGGTCTGGAGGAGGAGCTTTGGACCTGAAGTACTGAATGGCTGCTGTCAGGGCAGGTGGAGAGGTTTCCCTGGCCTGCCCACGACCACACCTCTGTTCCTACACCTCTGTTCCTATGGCTTACTGGCTCTGTGACCTTTCACCACCAGCCTCCAACCTGAGCTCAGGCCGCGTGCCTCGCCTCTAGGCTGTGTGTCTTCCCAGCCTGGCTGCAGTGCCCTCCACCTGAGGCTCCTGATGTGTTGGCCTCCAAAGCCACCCACCTCTTTTCCAGCCAGCCCATCCTCCTCCCACCTCTGCAACCTGAACTTACCACTCCCATCTTGGGGCCTTCTCTGCGCTTGGGAAGTCCCAAAGTGGTGTTGGCGTGAGGCCCAAGGGAGTTGACCCCTATGAGGCAGGTCCCAGTTCTGCCCTCCCACTTGCTGTGTGACTTTAAATATGATGACCTCTCCGAGCCTCAGTTGCCCCCTCTGAAAAATGGGTAGGATGCAGTTTTCGAGGGCCATTGAGACGATTCAGTGAGCTAATGCAGGAATGGGGATCAGAACAGTGTTTGGCCTAGTATTTACCCTCTCTCGGGGGTTACCGTCACAGTCAGGATCTGCGTCTGTTCACTGTTATTCTGTGTGAGAGTGGTCATGCCCCGTGGACCCTCATATCTGCATCCCCTTCCCCCAGCTGGCATACGGCCAGGACGGGCAGCTGAAGGGCTTCGCTGTGCTGGAGTACGAGACAGCTGAGATGGCCGAAGAGGCACAGCAGCGGGCAGATGGCCTGGCCCTGGGGGGCAGCCACCTGCGTGTCTCCTTCTGTGCTCCAGGGCCCCCTGGTCGCAGCATGCTGGCTGCGCTCATTGCTGCCCAGGCCACGGTGAGTGTGTGCCCAGGGGGTGGGGATGGGAGAGTAGGGGCCAGGCCCTCCTCCCTCAAGAAATCAGGGCCCCTGGCGGGCACCAGCTGGACTCGGATTGACAGGAAGTGACAAGGCCCCACCTCTGTGGCCGGGCAGGGCTCTGAAGTGGCCTCTGTTTCTCTCCTCAGGCCCTCAATCGGGGCAAAGGGCTCCTGCCTGAACCCAACATCCTGCAGCTGCTCAACAATCTGGGGCCCTCTGCTTCTCTACAGCTGTTGCTCAACCCCCTGCTCCACAGCAATGCCGGGGGCAAACAGGGTAAGGTGGGTCAGGTGGGTGGCGGGCAGGGTCCCCAGCTTCTCAGAACCAGGCACCTCCTCTGGACTGTGTTCCCATCTGACCTCCCTGTGATACAAGCCCCATGAGCAGGGGCTGGGATGAGTAGAGGTCACCTGCGAGGGGTCGTAGGTGGGAGCATTGCAGCCTGCAAAGAGGCAGGGGGTGGAAAGGGGCTGTCCTTCCCCAGAGCAGACTCCCTTGGGTCTTTCCTTTGGGCGAGTCACTTGCCTTCTCCAAGCTTCAGGCCCAGGACTTTGTTTAATGGGGGAGAGGGACTTCTATCCAGGGACCACCACCTATTTCCCGGTCTCCCCCCAGGTCTCCTGGGTGCCCCCCCGGCCATGCCACTGCTCACTGGGCCTGCCCTGTCCACGGCTCTACTGCAGCTGGCCCTGCAGACCCAGGGTCAGAAGGTAACAGCGGTGGGCCTGGGCTCCCCCCTCAGCCACACATGCTTGCATAGCCCCTTTCGGTTTCAGACACTACCCGCACCTGCCAATGGCTCGCCCTCACTGGAGTTGTGGGCTATCTGGCTGTGTCCCTGGGGTTCAGTATGGGTCCTTGCCTGTCAGGGGTGCTCAGGACTCAGGAAGTGACTCATTCTGGGGAAGAAAGTCTGGTCCCACAGGGGAGTAGAGTGGCCTCTCACCCCCACCCCTGCAGCACACATACACAGAGACATACAAAAATAGACATAGACACACACAAATAGACACACAGACACCCCACCACCATCAGTGCACACACACAGAGACATGCATACACACACAAAATAGACACCCCAACAGAGACACAAAAATAGTGCGCGTCCGCGCACACACATGCTGCCCTGCCTGGTTTGATTCACTGGGCTAAGTCAGTGACATGCACCTGTCTGATGACAACTGACAGAATGGAGGTGTGGATTTGGACCCTTATGTGGCTAAGAGTGACTCTGCTTCTGTGGTAATCAGCAAGGGGGCTGGTGTGGGATGGTGGGTGCCTAAAAAGGACTGTCACTGTATGTCTGATGGTGATTTGACAGTGTGGGGTAACAGGCTCTGATACACTGAGTGTATGGTCCGTGTTCCCTGGGTCTCCCCAAGGCCTTGGGTGGGCCCTGGCATGCAGGAGGCCCTTGGTTACCACTGGCTGGCCGAATGGGTGATGGCCGGGGTGTCACAGACACTGGGGGACACTGCATGTCTGCATGTGATCAGCCATGGGGCTGGAATCTGGGTGTGCTGGGAGTTGTGACTGCTGAGACCTTGGGTGACATCTGTCTACTGCCCAGGCCACACTGCCCTCATCTCCAGCTGACTGTGCTCTGTCCCCAGAAGCCCGGGATCCTGGGAGATTCTCCCCTGGGCACCCTCCAGCCTGGGGCCCAAGCAGCTAACCCTCTCCTTGGGGAGCTATCTGCAGGTAAAACAGACCCTCCCCCCTCATTACCTCTGTGGGCCCATCCTGCTTCCCCTTTCCTCACTGGCTGTCGTAAATTTCCAGCTGTATGGCCTTGGGCAAGTCACCTAACCTCTCTGGGTCTGAGTGTCCTCATCTATCAGTTGGGTGCCCACTTCCTAGCTCATCCATGAGTATTCTGGGAGTTGATGCACTTAGGGGGCTCTGCTCAATTCCCTGTGTGTAGTTGTCCCTCGGCTACTGACCCTGGTCCAAGGAGAGGCTCTAGAACCCTGGGAGGAAAGGTCTTGTATGGCTGGGCTGCTGACACCGTCTTTCTCTCTGTAGGGGGGGGCCTGCCCCCAGAGCTGCCACCCCGGCGAGGGAAGCCACCACCCCTGCTGCCTCCACTGCTTGGCCCCTCTGGGAGTGACCGGGAAACCATGGGCCTGGGTCCCCCAGCAGCCCAGCTCACTCCACCCCCTGCCTCTGTGGGGCTCCTAGGCACTGGCCTCAGAGGCCTCCAGAAAGACAGTGGGCCTCTGCCAACACCCCCTGGGGTAAGGCCCCACCCTGCACCCAGCACCATTCCAGCCTCCTGCCCTGTGATGTTCCCCCTGCCAGGGGCCTTTGCAAATCCAGCCCTCCCGCCACAGGTCTCACTGCTGGGGGAGCCCCCCAAGGACTTCCGGATCCCCCTGAACCCCTACCTGAACCTACACAGCCTGCTCCCAGCCAGCAACCTGGCGGGTAAGGAGGCCCGGGGCTGGGGAGGCGCTGGGAGAAGCCACCGCCCAGCTGAGGGCCCCCTGCCTAACCCCCCAGCCCCCGGAGGTGGTGGCGGAGGTGGTGGCAGCAGCAAAGCCTTCCAGCTGAAGTCCCGCTTGCTCAGCCCTCTTACCAGCGCCCGCCTGCCCCCCGAACCAGGGCTTTCTGACAGCTATGGCTTCGACTACCCCTCCGTGAGTACCAGCCTGCCCTGTGGTCAACCCTACTGAGGGCCAGATGCTGTGGCCCTTTGTGTCCTGGGAGGAAGTCATTCTCCAAACCAATATTTTTCTAGTATTGATTGTGCCAGGTCAAGCACTAATGAGACAGCGAGGAACATGCCGGACATGGTCCCTACCCTTCAGTTTCTTGTCTCTGTACCTCAGACCTTGCTTCCTGTCTCTCTCTCTCCCAGGAGGTCTTAGGCTGCACATCTGCTTCTCCTTAGAGACAGGGCTCAGCCTCCTATCTGTCTGCCTTTCTCTCCCCTCTCAGATTCCTGTCTCTGTCCCTGGGGAACTGCTCCTTCTATGATTCCAACCTCTTCCAGGTCAAATGTTACAGACTGGCCACCCACAGGCCACCTGTGTTATGTTTGGCCCACACTAGATTATAAAAAAATAAATAAACGCTAACGCCAACATATAAGCATTCACACAACTCAGATGCCCAGCTTACTTTGAAAACTCTGAACACCCGGCCCCACTGGGGCCACATGCCTTCATAGAAGTCATCTCTGCGTCCGAGGTGCAGCCACCCCTGGGATAGGGCACCTCCTATCTCATTACCCTACCCTGTATTCTGAGTTTGCCTCATGCAGTAGAGTTTGCCCTATACTTGAGGGGGAAGACTTCCCTGATGATAGCTGTGCCAGGGAATTCAGCCAGGGGTGAGGTTGGTGCAGACCCCAACATACTTCTACCACTTTCATTCAGGACATGGGACCTCGGCGGCTCTTCTCCCACCCACGGGAGCCAGCCCTAGGGCCTCACGGACCTAGCCGACACAAAGTAAGAACCATCCTGTCCATCCCACCTCCTGGGTTTATCAGTTATCTTTTGCTGCGTTACAAGCAAAAAAGTCCCACCACTTTGTGGCTTAGAACAGCAAACATTTTATCTGCACCATTCTGTGGGCGGTGGGTGGTTCTCTGCAGTCACCTGGCAGCTCAGCTAGGGCTCAGCAGTCCTTAGTTATATATGTAGCAGTTAGTAGGATGGTGAGGGGGCCTTGGCTGGGGGCCTCAGCTGGGATGGTTTATCTGTTCCACATGGTGCTCACCCTCCAGCAGGCCAGCCTGTGCTCATGCACATGGTGGTGGTCCCAGGGTTTCCAGGAGGCAGAAGGGAGGGCAGTCACCTCTGCTTACATCGTCATGCTACTGTGCTATTGGCCAAAGCTAGTCACATGGTAAAGCCCAGAGTCATCTGCGGGGTGGTTTACAAAAGGGAGTGGATGCTGTAATAGTCTGCCTCACTCAGCTGGCCCCCTCTCTGCAGATGTCCCCCCCACCCAGTGGCTTCGGCGAACGGAGTGGTGGGGGCGGTGGGGGTTCCCTCTCTCACTTTTATTCGAGCTCGCCCACTTCCTACTTCACCAGCGGCCTGCAGGCTGGCCTCAAGCAGAGCCACCTTAATAAGGTGAGGAACCTCCCAACCTAAGTACAGGTTCCCAGGGACAGCTGGGATGCAAGGGGACCCTGTGATCCTTGTTGCCTAGGCCAAGGCTGGGGTGGCAGCAGGGGTCAGCTTTGCTCAAGGCCGAGCTGAAATAGGCCATCCTAGCCTCCCCTGTGTGTTTCGCACCTGGCACTGACCAGCCTTCCAGGCCTCCACTCACTTCCCCAACAGATCAGGGGGTGGGTGGAATTATCCTCAGTTGACAGATGAAAAAACTTGAGGCTCAGAGAGGGCAAGTAATCTGTCCCCAGTCTCGTGGCTAGTAAGCGGCAAAGGAAGGATTTGAACCGAAACCCTTGCCTTTGCTCTGAGGGATGTTTCCTCTCCATCTTACCTCTCTTTCCTTTCTCCCAGGCGGTCAGTTCCTCCCCAATGAGCTCTGGAGAAGGGCTTCTGGGCCTTGGCCCCGGGCCCAACGGCCACAGCCACCTGCTGAAGGTACAGGTAGGGGTGGGGACACGGGGCTGGGAAACAGTGGGCCCCCGGGTGGTCCCTGACCTGCTGCCCCCTCTTTCTACAGACCCCACTGGGTGGCCAGAAACGCAGCTTTGCCCACCTGCTGCCCTCGCCGGAGCCCAGCCCAGAAGGCAGCTATGTGGGCCAGCACTCCCAGGGCCTTGGTGGCCACTACGCGGATTCCTACCTGAAGCGCAAAAGGATTTTCTGAGGGTCCAGTGCCAGAGATGCTCCAGAGCCTGCACCAAATCGCTTTTGGGTTTTCTGGTGTTTTTGTGTTTTTTTTTTTCTTTTGTTTTTTTTTCCTGGTAATAGAAAAATCTCTGAAAGACTTTGCTGACTGACCCAGCCAGAGCCCCAGGAGCCCAAGGAGTATGGGGGAGTCGGGGCCACTCTGCATCTCTGGCCTGCTCCGGGCATGGAAACCCTGCAGCCTTAAGAGGGAGAGAGCAGGCCAGGGCTCCTCTCCCCCCTTCCCTGTGTTCACCTACATCTGCCCCTCTGGGAGTCCTCTCCTGCCTTGTCACTCCTATATCTTGGCCTTTTGAGTGCCTTGGAGGTTTCCCTGACCTCCCGTGAGGATCAGAGACTGTCCCCCTTTTTTAACTTTGACAGATGACTTTTGTTTCCTTTTCTAATTTTTATTATTTTTTAAACAATCCAGGATGACCCCCAGCTCTGATTCCTGCAAGGTTCAGCATGTCTGGGCCTCCATTCCCCACTTTGGTTTAAAACGACTCAGCCCTTTTCTCTTTCTCCCATGTCTGCCGCAGGCATGACTGTCTCCTGCCACTGCCTCCCCACTCTGACCTGTACTCCAGCTCTGGATCCCATGCTCCCCGCCACTGTTCCCTCGCCTTCTGATGCCTTAAAGCCAGGCCTCAGGCCCCACTGGCCAAAGCCTCTGTGATGCCAAGCTACCGAAGCTTGACTCAGGACCAAACAGCTCTGGCCTGGGGATTGGGTTGGAAAACCAACCCTACCATCCCTTCTGCCCAGGCCTAAGTGCAGGCACTGGCCTTCTCTGCCAGTTTAAAGCAGTCCTGCTGTCCATCTGGGGGAGTGGGGCACTGTGCATCTCATTGAGCCTCAGCTTACTCCCGCCATGTTGAAAATGAGCTCCACCTCTCTACTCCCCAGACTAGATCACCCAGAACTGGCCTCCCTTTGGCCCATGGGAATCCAACTCTGTGCAGATAAGCTCTGCCCCTGCCCACCAGCAGGACCTGTTGGCCTGAAGTGACACTGGACCCTGCCCCTGGCCGGCTGGACCACCAGCTTCCCTCTCCTCACTATAGGGGTCCACATCCACTTCAGGGCGTTCCTGTCCCCAATCCTCTCACACACAGACCTTTGCTGAATTAAAGTTTGTAAGTAAATGGTTTTAAAGAAAGTAGAGCTGGCTGTTTTTTGGGACAAACAATGGGCCTGGGTGGGTGGTCTGGGATAGTCTCCACAGGTCTTGGTGTGCCGGAGCCTTCACCTCTTCCGACTCCAGCGCCTGGACTCACGCTACAAAGCGTTGGCGCTTTCATTGGGGTGATTATGGGACGTTTGCTCCTGAGTGCGCCACAGCGCATGCCCAGTCTTCGGGTCACGTGATGCCTGTCATGGCTGCCTCCGTGGCCCGTGGCGCCGCGAATGCCGGGTTCTTGCTACGGGTGGCCTGGGGCACCTGGTGGAGCCGACCTGGTGGCTGTTGGGGATCCGGGGAGGCGGCGGCGCCAGCGAAAGCCAGGAAATTCCGGGCGACAGGTACTTGCAGCGCCTCGGGGTGGGGACAGCGTTAACCTGTCGAATGCCGGCGGGGCGCGGCGTGTCCGCTCACCCAACCGTGTTTTCCAGGCTCGCGCCCGGCGTGGGAGGAAGAAGCCAGCGGCCCCGAGCGGCCCGGGGACGTGTGAGTGTGTGTGGGGGGGTGGGCCAAGTCCTCCATTCCTCATCCCACGAGGTTCCTCTGGTCTCCACCTTGCCCTGCTGTGTCATCCCTGGGTCCCCCATCTGCTTCGCCTTATTTCCCTGTCCGTCAAGCCCGAGCCAGACTTCCTAACCCTACATTCTGGGCCATCATCCAGTTCGGCATCCGCGCCCCTGTCTGTCCCCAGGGTGAATGTGGTGTTCGTAGACCGGTCAGGCCAACGGATTCCTGTGAGCGGCAGAGTCGGGGACAATGTTCTCCACCTGGCCCAGCGCCATGGAGTGGACCTGGAAGGTGGGAGCCAGGCACAGAGAATTTGAGAGGCCCTTATTATTCATTTATAAAACAAAAACAAACACGCACAAATCATATATGTCTCTCCACTGCTTAACCCTCCCATGGCCTTCCACCTATCATGGACTAAAATCCAGACTCTTCACCACTGCCTCATCCTCTATCAGCTCTTAACTTTCAGTCCTTTAGGATTGGTTTATTGAGCATTTACTTGAAGTTACTATAATAAAACTCCTGCCCTCTGGGAGCTTGTATTGTCTTCCTTGCTCCCTCTATTCTGGCCACACTGGCTTTCTTGCTATTGCTCAAACTGCCAAATTCATTCCTGCCTCAGGCCTTTGCATTTACTACTCCCTGAGTCTGAAGCGATTTCCCACCAGGTCTTCTGGTTTCTTCTCATCCTTCAGGTCTCTATGTAAATGTTATCTTCCTGGCAATCTCATCCTCCTCAGCCGAGCTAAAGTTCCTATGCCCCAGTCTATCATATTAGTGTGTTTTATTGTCCTCATAGCACTTCTCACTGTTTTAGATCCTTCTTTGTCATCTGCCTTCAGAATGAGATCAGAAACCCTGTTAGCCATGTTCACATGTATGTGTTGCCTGTCATGGTATTTAGATGCAACAGGTATTAAGTCAGTATTTGTTGAAGGAAAGATAATAACAGCAGACATTACTTTTAGTGTGTTAACACATATTAACTCATTCGTTGACACTTCATGACAACTTTATGCAGTAGGGGAGATTATCTCATTTTATAGGTGAGGAAATTGAGCCCCAGGTTGCGAAGACCTGATCCAAGGTGAAATGGCAAAATTAGATTCAAACCCAGCCTTTTTTAGCCACTAATCTGTGCTGTTCTTCTATGAATATTGAACACTTACTGTGTGCCAGGCAGCAGTATACAAAATAGATAAAGCCTGTCATTTCATACCAATTATAACCTAATAGGGAATAAATATGTAATTATATCATCAGCAACTGAAAAGGATGGCCTGAAAAAAAATGTACAGGATTATTTGGTGAATGTAATAACCCTGTTATTATTTGGAGGCTGACTTTACTGGGGAACAGTGTGTTTTTCCCAGACCCATCAGCTCCAAGTCAAGTCGTTGTCTTCAATCTAGTTGTGGAAAGCACAGCTCACTGGCCCATGTGGGAATCGAACTGGCAACCCAGGTGTTATGAGCACTGCGCTCTAACTGAGCCAACCAGCTGCCCTGGAGGCTGATTTAATCATTAGAGGGGATGGAGATGGGAGTGGTCTTGGCAGGCCTACCTTAAATTTTTTTCTGGAATCCAGTGGTTGGCAATCTAGGATAGAGATTGGAATATGAGTTTTAGAGGCAAGTGGCCTGTGTTCAAATTTTGCCTCTTGCCAGCTGTGTGACCCTGAGCAATGTACTTAGCATCTATGGGCCTCTGTTTCCTCATCTATAAAATGGGCTAATGTAGTTCCATTTTGCTGGGTTGTTATGGAGGATTAAACAGACGTTGTGCATAGTGCTTAGTGCCTGGCACATGGTTAGTGTGCAGTGACTAGCTGGGACATTTATATTAGATAATCTCAAGGGACGAGGGTGCTAATGAGGTGGGAGACAGGGCCGAGGAAGAGAAGCAGGGGACTACTTGGAATTTCAACATTAAGTTTTTCCCAGGAGACAAGGTTCTGCTGGGTCAGGAGGCTGCCTTGACCCAATGCCTCAAATGAGGCCTCCACTCTGACTGTCCAACATGTCTGGAAGAGAAAGGAGAATTCTGTCCCATCATTCACTTATAACAGATGTCTCTTGAGCATCTACAACATGCCAGGCTTAATGCCATGTACAGACAGAGGAGGGCAGGTTGATGGGGAACAGGTAAACCCAGAGATTAAGATGGTAACTTCAGAAAAATGCTGTATAGAAATTAATGAGTTAACAAAGCAGGGGGAAGGACAAGAAACAGGAGCTAGGAGACTTGGAGGATAGTTGAGTCCCCAAAGACAAGATCTGGCCATGAAAAGAATGGACAGGAGCATTTCGGGCCAAGTGCAAAGGTCCTGTGGTGCTGGAGTTGAGCAAGGGGGCTTGTGTGGCTAATGTAGACTGAGTGAAGGAGTGGGAGGATACCAGGGATTTGGATTTTATTCTGACTGTGAAAATCCTCTGGAAGGTTTTAGTCCAGGAGGGACATTATCCCCAAGGATAGTTCTGTCATCAATCAGAAGGTTGGGAGTGTCTTCAGAGGCAATCAGGAAACCCCCGCTTCTGCATGTTTCAACCTTCATTCCATGACTCCTTCCCCTGCTGCACTAGCTGAGTGAGCTGTTCCCTCCTTGAGGAACAGGAGGGAGGTGGGAACACATTTGTCCAGCACTGTGACAGTCACAGCAAAAGCTCACAGGCTACAGGGAACCTGCCTGGCCTTTCCCTTCTCAGCTACACTGAAGTCCAGTCAACGCTCATTAATGGTTGTATGTACCCAGCATGATGGGGAATCATTGGGAAATGGGACCCCAAGATAGCCCTTTGGAGGGCCGGCCGAGTGGCTCAGTTAAGAGCTCGCTCAGGAGTGCAAGCTCTGAGCAACAGGGTCGCCGGTTCAATTCCCGGCCCGAGCTGAGCTGCTGCTGAGCTGCCAATAAGCTGCTGCTGAGCTGCCAACAGGTGGCAGGATGGCTCAGCTAAAAAAAAACCAAAAACCTATCTGCAGCTCTAGAACAGCTAGCTGAATAGATGACACAATGGGTGTGCAGGCCCAGGAGGGAAAGATGGGGGACACGTGGTAAAACAGACTTTTCCGTTATGTCTTTCACTGGATGGCACCCGCATGACCATGCCCTTTACCGACGTTCCCTTCACTTGCTGCCCCCAGGGGCCTGTGAAGCCTCTCTGGCGTGTTCCACCTGCCACGTGTACGTGAGCGAGGACCACCTGGACCTTCTGCCCCCTCCTGATGAGAGGTGAGCATGGCGGCCCCTCCCAGCTCAGAGCTGCAGGGTTAGCCGTTGAGCCTGTGCATTCCCAGTGTTCAGAGGTCCACTGGGCAGCAGTGGAGGGCAGTCCCAACTTTTCTCCCCACTCCAGCTGCTGGCAGGGGCACAGCTCCCCTGGACTTGGTCGGGCTGCCTCTCCCTGGACTGTGAGGTGACCTCTCCCTGCCCTTCTGGGCCCTCGCCAGCTGCACCAACGTGCCCATGACTAACCATTGCCCCCCTTGCCCAGGGAGGATGACATGCTGGACATGGCCCCCCTTCTCCAGGAGAACTCCCGTCTGGGCTGCCAGATCATATTGACGCCGGAACTTGAAGGGGCTGAATTCACCCTGCCCAAGATCACCAGGAACTTCTACGTGGATGGCCATGTCCCCAAGCCCCACTGACATGGGCAGCTGGACTATCCCATACACCCATGGCCTCAGGGCCAGGACTGGAGGAACAGCCAAGTTGCCAAACCGGCCCAGAGCACAGACAGGCCTGAGAGATGTTGGAAGCACCCAGGAGGCCAGAGAGATCCGACGTTCAGGCTCTGGTGGAAACAGGGCCCCCTGTTGGGGTGGCCTCCCCAAGCCCCTGAGAATGGGGGTATGGATAGGGGTGGAATCTAATTAGTGACAATAAAACAGTCTCACAGAACTCCAGTGTTCTGCCTCACACAATTTGAGTGTCCTGGCCGGGGCTTTCCTCTGGATCTACAGCTGCATCTTCCAGGCCCCAGCTCTCCTCTCCCACAGCATGTTGGGGCCAGTGGGGAAACTGAGACAGAAGACTGGAGGAGAGGGCCTGGGAGCCTGAGGGCCCACAGGCGTCAGCGTGGCAAGGCCCCGCCCCTGCAGCCGCGGAGGGATCTGGAGGGGCCCAGGCCGCCCTTGGCCGCCATGGATGTGCAGGCCACCCTAGCAGAGTCGGAAGGGAGAGAGGGGCGGTGGCTGGCCTGAGGTTGAGAGCTAGGAAACCGGCACTGGACATCGCCCACCCTGCCCAGGTAGGACTTATTGCCCACCTCTATCTGAAGCGCAGTACCCCGCAGGTGCCGCCCCACCCAGGTGGCGCTCATCCGTGGGCCGTCAGGGGCGGGGCCAGGCGAGACTAGGGAAGAGAGCTGGGCTCGGACATGATGGAGGCTGAGCTAGTGCCGGAGCTCTCCATGATGCTGCGAGAACTGGCGCCGTTCTGTCTGGACCCTGAACCGCTTCCCGGAACCCCCACCCAGGAGACGCCAAGGGCCCCAAGATGCTTCAGACCCAGTGGCAGGTGCGTTAAGGAGCCGCCCCTTCCCCCATCCTGGCCGAGTGGTCAAAGAGTCATGATCTCTGGTTTCTGGGGTTATCCAGGGGTCACAATATTAGTTACTGATACTTACAAAGAAGAGGTTCTGGTCCCCAGGGGTGCGTGGGGTCATATGTGATCAGAGGTCATGCAGTTCCCCTTGCCCCATGTCTCCGAGGCCTATGTAGGTGCCACCCAGGAAGGGGGTGACCACACACACTACCCTTTGTTCCCAGGTCCTTCTGGCCTGCACACCGGGATTCGGTCACTGCCCTGCACTTCCTTCCAGAGACAGAGCGGCTGGCCCAGCCCCCTGCTGGAGACACCCAGGCCCTGGGCCCCTGCTGGGAGCTGAAGGACCTTGGGGCGCTGGGACCCGCACCTCTGGCCAGGGATGCCAGGGCCATGCTGACCCCAGTCAACCAGCAACATAGCCTGGGGCCCCAGGGGACACACTCGGCCCCTTCAGCCCCACCCCAGAAGAGACCCCGGAAGCAGTTGAACCCGCACCGGGGTGCAGAGAAAGTGGACCCCTGGTTTGAGGGGGTGACCCTGAAGTTTCAGATAAAGCCAGATTCCAACCTACAGATCATGTCCAGCTACAGGTAGGGGCTGGCCCTGGTAAGGGCACCCTTTATGCAATTAATGATAATGGTGGGGACGGAGGCCTGGGGTGGGGTGCCTCCAGGCATGGGCTCATAGATTCCCACACCAGTCCTGCGTTAGAAATGGCCCAGTCTCTAAGCAAGACTAGTGCCAGTCCCTGCCCTGCTGCCATGGCCAGCCACATGCCGGTCTGAGCCTGGGTCTCCTCTTTATGAGATGGGCCTGACCATACTGACAGCTGCTGCTACCATTATGTTTTCCAATAACGATAATAGCTTCCATTTGTCAGGAATAACAATAAGAGGTAACAGGTAACACTTGATGTATATGGTCTCATTGAAGCATTGTAAAGCCCATTTTACAGATGCAGGAACTGAGGCACGGGGGAAATCACTTGTCCAGGGTCGCACAGTGAAGACTAGGGAGAAATGGGATTTCAATCTGGCAGGCTGGCCCCAGGCTAACTACCTCTTCAGACGATAATCATTATTATTGCTGATGAGGGACAAAGCCAGGCCTTTCAACATCAGATGCCTCCTGGTGCCTGATAACCTTGATAGGAAATCTTCATTTTGGGGGGCTGTCTGGGACAGGATATAGATTCCCCTGTGCTAACATGCTTGTCTGCTCTCCAGCCTGACCTTCAGCAGCCGCTTTCAGGGTCCCCCAACAGGCCCCACTGGGGGCCCTGAGGCTAACCCAGGAGGCAGTGAGATCCTGGGTGAGTCCTGGAAACCTGAAAGCTATAAATATTTTGGGGGGGGGGAGACCAACCTCCTGTCCTCCCTGTCTTTCTCCCCATCTTGCTTCCCCATTTAGACCCATCCAAGGAGTTGCAGTACCCCCACCACTCAGCTGAGTCACCCCCACCCCCAGCTTCTTCCTCTGCCAAGCTTTGCCATCTGTTTCCCGTCCTAGCTTTTCCTCTGTCTTAGATCTGGCAACACCCGGGGCTGGCCCAGAACTGGGTGGGGCCTTCACAGAGATTCCCCCAAATGCCCCACCCCACGTGGGACTCCTGAGCTCAGACTCTTGGCCTCTGACTTCTGCCCTTTGGCCTCTGCCCCTTCAGGGCCCCGGCGCTGTGCTTCCTGTAGGACCCAGAGGACCCCGCTCTGGAGAGATGCTGAAGATGGAACCCCTCTCTGCAATGCCTGTGGTATCAGGTTTGCAGAATGGAGGAAGAGTTGGGGTGGGGTCCCAAATCATCTAGCATGGGGTATTTGGAAGGGAAAATACCCACCTTTGGGGAAAGTTGTTTTTTTGTGGTGGTTTCTGTACCCCTGGTGCATCCTGAATGTTGGTTTCTTGTACTCCCACTCCAGGTATAAGAAATATGGCACCCGGTGCTCCAGCTGCTGGCTGGTGCCCAGGAAAAATGTCCAGCCCAAGCGGTTATGTGGCAGATGTGGGGTATCCCTGGGTCCCCACCAAGGCCCAACTCAGGAAGGGTAAGCCCTTCCTCACCCAGCCAAGCCTGTCCTGCCTCAGTTTCTCCAGGGGGAGAATGGGCGGAAGCCCTCCTAGAAGGAATGGGAAACAAACTTGGGTCTTGAGGGCTCCAGCCTGTATGCTCTCTGTTCTCTACCCTCTCCCCATTCAGGGTCCCCAGGTGGAAGACCCAGGCCTCAGGCCCCGGAGCCTGTCTCAGGGGGTCACTTGCCCCCTCCTTGGCCCCTGCTCCAATCAGGCTTGGCTGAGCTCCCTCTCAGAAAATGCTCTGAGTGACATTCATCCTGTTAATCGGGACAATAAAGAGCAGAACTACTCAGAGAAGGAGCACTGTGACTTGGGGATCCTACCGCTTGTGCCCTCACCCACCTGTCCCCCAGCCCAGGAATGCGGGGCAGGCGTTTTCTCATTGGGGTTCTGAGGGACACACACACACACACGGTCATGTATACAGGCACTAGCCCCTCACAGGGGATTAGTCACATGTACCACAAAGTCACACATGGCAACAGTGACCACACAGAGACAACACATGTAGAAAAACACACAGAAGACAGACATATGCATCAACACACACAAGACACATATGGACAGACACGTGCTGACACATGAGACACACAGAGACAGACCCACACACAAGACTGAAAGATACATGGGTTGACAGAGACATGTTTACTGATAGGTGATAGATACCTGTCAGTAGCCATGACAGATATACACAAAAGACACACATGCAACACATACAGATGACACACATTGGTACACAGTTATACACAGTGGGCCCCTCATCTGTTAGCTCCACCCCTGTCTGCAGAACGTCACCTTCCCGCTTCCTAAGGGCACCAGTCCTGCTGTGTCCCTCTCCCCCTCTTTTAAGATCTCTCTAGCCAGCCAAGTGGCTCAGTTGGTTAAGAGCTCGCTCAAGAGTGCAAGCTCTGAGCAACAGCGGTTCGAGTCCCGGCCCAAGCTCAGCTGCCGCTGAGCTGCCAACAGGTGGCAGGATGGCTCAGCTAAAAAAAATAATAAGATCTCTCTAACTCCACCAAAAGGTGACCCCAGCCTGAAGCCAAAACCTATGTGGGAGAGGCAGGCCCTGGGCAGAGCTCAGCCCTGCCACTGTCGCCAGAACACTCTCTCACAGGGAGAGAGGAGTGAGAGTCAAGAATGGGTGGGATGCAGTAAGGGCAGGGGTGGTCCCTGCCTTGGAGGTGAGACTTGCCTGGCCACATGCCCCTGGAAGGCAAGCCCATGTGAGACCCCCTTTGTCTCTCCTGGGTGAGCCAGTACAGAAGGCCTGGGCCCAGATTCCTCAGCCCTCAAATCCCTGACTCATTTGCTCCCCCTTCCTCAGATCAGAACACCCTTCCCCCAGGTCTCCAATAGCTGCTGCCTGCTTACCACTTGGGGAGGAGAGGCTCAGCCCTCAAAAAAGCACCCCTTGACCATTCTGTCTAAAACAGACATCCCATTTCCACCCATGGCAGGCTCTAGTTCAGCTCCTTGCTGGTCTCCCTCTTAGGACCTACCAGAATTTTCAGTCCTCTACTGCTCCAGGGTCATTTTATTCACCTTCCTCTCCCCAGCTCAACCATGACTTCAGAGGTACAAAGTCACCGCCACATCTGTGTCCCTGACCATGACAGGCTACCCAAATGCCCAGCACGGAGAGTCTCTTTGGGCACACACACTGAAAACACAAAGGTCTCAGACTGTGTGTCTACAAACTCATGGCTGTTTTTATCCATTCAACATTTATTGAGCAACTACTGTATGTTAGGCCCCAGTGGGGACACTCCATGGTGAATAGAACAAAGATTCCTGCTCTAGTGCAGCCAATGTTCTAGAGTGACAGTAAAGAAATATTCAATTACATGTCTAATAAAATGTCAAGTAGTGAACGGTGCTACAGAGAAAATAAAATATAGAAGATGTGGAGTTGGGGGACTGCCTTAGCCATGGTTCAGGAAGGCCTCTCTGAGAAGGTGACATTTGAATAGAGACCTGAGGATAGGGAACTAACTATGGGGCCATTTGGGGTGAGGACATTCCAGGCAGATAGAATGGCAAGAGCAAAGGCCTGTGGCAGGCAGGACTCTGGGGGGTTCAAGGAACCTGGAGGAGGTGGGTGGGAATGGAGAGAGGTGATTGAGGCGGGTAGGACTGCAGGGGCTGTGCCTTGTTGCCTTCTGTACTTGCACCCAGCACTGGCGTGGCCTCTATTGCCATTTCCCGCTCTCACCTTTGCTCATGAAATGTTGGCATGGGCAGCCAATGGAGTCGGAGCTGTCCAGACCTGCTTCCTCCTCTGCAGCTCTGTTCCTGCTTTTGAGGGAGGAGGAGATTGGGGGGCAGGCCCAGCTGTTCTCTGCTTATGCTGTGGGGAGTGAGGGTGGTAGTGGTGTGCAGTGGGATTTTCAGTTGATACCCTGTGTTTCTCTTGTGAATCATGGTCAAATCCAAAGGCAGATTAAAGGTAAACTGAGGCACAGTGGATGGACACAAGATGGAGGAAGCTTTGAGAGTGAGACAGGGACATCCTGGGGGCTGATAGACATAGCTGCAGCCACTACCTTTGTTTACCATCTGGGAGAGACCTCAGGGCAGGAGTCCATTGCCCAGATCCTTAGGACGGGGGCTCTACCCATCCGGGGAAGGTAGCCTCAGCTCTGCTGGGACCCAGGCCTGGGAAGCACCTAGCTCCCACCTTAAAGAGTTAGCCAGATTAGAAAGCAGTGCTGGGAGGAAGAGAGAAGCCTAAGGGAAAGGGAGGAAGGAATGTGGTCCCCAGGTCACACCATGCAGACTGCTCAGGACTGTGCCCCACACAGAACAGATTCTCAAAAACAAAAACAGTGCTTTGAATAAATAGCTATTTGGATTCGAACCCTGGGCTAGTTCACATCACAGAGACTGACACAGACTGAACCAGTGTCCTTTATAAAAACTTTTGGGTGGGGGGTAGAAAATGGGGATAACTTCCTGGAATTGAATACATACATACATACATACATACATACATACATAAATAACAATAAGCCCCCATGTGCGTCTGGGGGGCGTCCCCCGGCCCGCGGGGAGAGGGGAGACGGCTCACGCTGATGTCAGCTGTATGGTGAAGACCTCGCCCCCAGCGGGCGCCTCCCCGGTGTCCGCAGGTTTTGTTCCACCTTCGGGGCCCGCGCCCCCGCCGGAGCCGCCCCCGGTGCCGTTGAGACACACAGCCTCACCCGAGCTCTCGGCCTCCTGCACGTTGTACTCGCCCTTCTTGCAGGCGGTGGACTGCACATAGAAGGCCAAGCCGGCCCCCACGGCCAGCAGTGCGGCGCCCCCCGCCGCTCCGCCCACGGCGACCCACAGCCACGGACCTGCGGGGTGGAGCCCCTCAAACAGATTGGATCAGCTGGGCGTTCCCCCACCCCCATGAGATGCCAAACCCAAGCCCCTCCCAGCGTCGGTGTAATCCAAGACACGCCACCCCAGTACATGATGATATTAGCCCCTGGCCCCAGAGATACCCACAAGCCAATTCTCCTCACCCCCAAAAGGATGAGGGTGGGAGAACCGGGTCATTCCTCTAACCCAGAAAGAACTAAGTCCGAAAGTGACACGAAATGGGGGGAAGGGATCTAGTTGGCCATCCCCCCCCCTCCTCCGATAGTGACATTGTGGAGGGTGAATTGGACCAACTCTCCACCAGGCAGAACTCCGACAAATTAATAAGTCTCTCCCCACAGCAGTCACAGCCCTGGAGGGTCCCTTCCCTTGAAGTTCATTCAGCTCCCGCTCCCTCCACTTCTCACCCTCATCCCACCATCAAAGCCCCCCACCCATCAGGACCCCCAGACTTCTACCCTGGCCTCCTCCAGTCTCATCTGTGGATACAGGGAGGCAGGGACGAGGTCAGGTGTCCCAAGTCGCAGACCCCGACCCCCAGATGCCACTTACCAGCCACACGCACGGTGATGCGCTTCGAGTGGCGCCCATGCGCGTTGGTGGCTGCGCATTCGTACTCGCCGCCGTGGCTACCCAGGGCGCCTGCCACGCTCAGCGTGCTGTTGTTGCTCGACAGGCCGAAGTTGAGCGCTCCTGGGGGCGCACGCCAGCTGATCTGGGCGGGGGGCCAGGCCTCTGCGCGACAAGTCAACGTGAAGTTCCCGCCTGGCCGCACGCCTCCTGGAGGCGACGCGGCCAGTTCGGCCACCACAGGCCGGTCTGCAGAAGGACAGGAGGGGACTCAGGGTCGGCCCGGACGCTGACCAAGTGCCCCGCTTCAGCCCACCACAATCTGAGACCACCCCTGCTCGAATGCGCAGGCGGGGATCCAGTCTCCCATCAGAGCCCCCTCCCCCTACAATCAGGCTGTTGTGTGGACTAATATCTCCGCCCAGCTTCACCGAAGGGAGGTGGGGACTCACACTAGTGTCCTTCTGACCCAGGACTTGAGGCGGGGGG